CCTCCCCCCCATGGAGTGGATCTTGGCTGTTTTTGGCGCCTGTTTCGAGCGGGTGGAGTGTCCCCCAGAGGCCGCACTCTTGCAAACAGTCGTACTAAGCAGAGGTCCGGAGCCAGGCCCCCCCCCCTCCCCTTCCTTTCCGCCCAATGTCGAAGCGCCGAATAAAACAAGTTCACAAACGAGAAACACAGCGAACACAAAGCGAAAACCAACGTTTAGCTCCAGCCCTGCTCCATCCTGGATCCCGTGCGCCGAGCTCCTTCGCCGCGGCGGAAGGCGGGCTGGGCATCGCTCGGGCGTTTTTTGTTTTTTTTTTTGTTTTTCCCGGCGAGGCCAGCGCCAGAGAGCCTGGAACAGCCAGCTGCATCTGGGATTAGGTCGGGCATGGTGAGCGTTTTTGGTTCCTTCTTTTGCCGATCGGCGCGGGCCCTCGCATCGCACCCCTCCCTCCCCTCCGAGGGGAGAATTTAACTGTACATGACCACCGCCTGGAGGGTCAGTTTTCGGAGCCTCGGCAGGCGGTGGATATGGACATATTCGGGCCCCTGGGGGCCGAAATATATCCATATCCACCGCCCGCTGGGGCACCAGGACGTCGGTTCCCAGGCGGTGGATATGGATAAATCCCCGACTCGCATCCCCCCCCCGTTGGAGTAGGCTGTGTTTGGCGCCTATTTTGAGCGGGTGGAGTGCGGCCTCCAAGATCGCCCCAAGAGGGCCCAAGAGGCCCCCAAGAGGGCTCCAAGATGGCCCAAGACGGCTCCAACACCGCCCCAAGAGGCCTCCAAGACGGCCCAAGAGGGCCCCAAGAACGCTTCAAGAACGCCCCAAGAGGGGGTTCACGAAACAGAATTTCGACCTCTAGGCCCTTAGAGGCCCCCGGGAGGCCCCAAGACGCCCTCAAAGGCCCCAAGAAGCCCCCAAGAGGCCCTCAAGAGGCCTCAAGAGGCCTCCAAAAGGCCCTCTGGAGGCCTCCAAAAAACCCTCCGGAGGCCCCCAGGACGCCTCCGTGACTCCAGCCAGACGCGACTTGGGAAACGCGGGTCGGGGTGGTCCTCCTCCCCCGCGTTCGGCCTCCAGCCTCGAGCCTCGACCCTCCACGACGACGACGACCACGCCGGCGGGCGGCGGCGGCGGGCGGCGGCGGCGGCGACGACGACGACGAAGACAAAGGCGCTCCTCATCGCTCCTCATCCCCCTCCTCCGTCCTCCTCCTCCTCCTCCTCCTCCTCTTCCTCCTCCTCCTCCTCGTCCTCCTCCTCCTCCTCCGCCTCCTCCTCCGGTCCAACCACAAGAAAGTGTTCCTTCACGCCCGTGTCCGCAACGCCAGAGGACATCAGGACGATAACAGAGCCAACGTTAGCATTCAAAGCCCGCCACCCTCCGACACGAGGGTTCCCCTATCGCATAAGATGTCTCTTCCCCCGGCTCGAACGGCCCCACAGCGGGATACCACGGGCAACACGCCCCCACGATGGCACCAAAGCCGTCAAAAAAACTCCAAACACCTAGAGGCCCCATGAAAATTATCCAAGCGAAGGACCCAACCATACGCAAGTGTGAGAACCGCAGGGCAGGCGGGACGAAGCAAGGGGAGTTCCTCATAGGGGCCACGAACCGTGTGAGGGGTGCACCAAACTGGCGCGGGGCCGCCATGCGAACCCTGCCACTGGGGCCTTCGGTGGAGCTCCCTATGGGGCCACGAACCGCGTGAGGGGTGCGCCAAAATGGTGCGGGGCCGCCATGCGAACCCTGCCACTGGGGCTTTCGGTGGAACTCCATATGGGGCCACGAACCGTGTGAAGGGTGCACCGAACTGGCGCGGGGCCGCCATGCGAACCCTACCACTGGGGCCTTCGGTGGAGCTCCCTATGGGGCCACGAACCGTGTGAGGGGTGCACCAAACTGGCGCAGGGCCGCCATGCGAACCCTGCCATTGGGGCTTTCGGTGGAACTCCATATGGGGCCACGAACCGTGTGAGGGGTGCACCAAACTGGCGCGGGGCCGCCATGCTAACCCTGCCACTGGGGCCGTCGGTGGAGCCCCATATGGGGCTACAAACCGTGCGAGGGGTGCGCCAAGATGGCGCGGGGCCGCCATGCGAACCCTGCCACTGGGGCTTTCGGTGGAGCTCCCTATGGGGCCACGAACCGTGTGAGGGGTGCACCAAACTTGCGCGGGGCCGCCATGCGAACCCTGCCACTGGGGCCGTCGGTGGAGCTCCTTATGGGGCCACGAACCGTGTGAGGGGTGCGCCAAAATGGCGCGGGGCCGCCATGCGAACCCTGTCACGTGGGCCTTCGGTGGAGCTCCCTATGGGGCCACGACCCGTGTGAGGGGTGCGCCAAAATGGTGCGGGGCCGCCATGCGCACCTTGCCACTGGGGCCTTCGGTGGAGCCCCCTATGGGGCTAAGAACCGTGCGAGGGGTGCGCCAAAATGGCGCGGGGCCGCCATGCGAACCCTGCCACTGGGGCCTTTGCGGAGCTCCCTATGGGGCCACGAACCGTGTGAGGGGTGCACCAAACTGGCGCAGGGCCGCCATGCGAACCCTGCCACTGGGGCCTTCGGTGGAGCTCCCTATGGTGCCACGAACCGTGAGGGGTGCGCCAAAATGGCGCGGGGCCGCCATGCGGACCCTGCCACTGGGGCGGTCGGTGGAACCCGCTATGGGGCCACGAGCCGCGTGAGGGGTGCGCCAAAATGGTGCGGGGCCGCCATGCGAACCCTGCCACCGGGGCCTTTTCGGTGGAGCTCCCTACGGGGCTACGAACCGTGTGAGGGGAGCGCCAAAATGGCGCGGGGCCGCCGTGCGAACCCTGCCACTGGGGCCTTCGGTGGAGCTCCCTATGGGGCCACGAAGCGCTGCACTGGGTGGGTGAAACGCAGGGAGGAGGGAGGAGGGGGAGGAGGAGGGGGCAGCGGGAGGAGACGCGGGGCACCGTCTCTTCAAAACGAGGACCCAACACCACAGGATGGTTGGGAAACACAGTGACACATTTATCGGCAACTACACAGCTCCCGACGCCGCAACGCCACACTGCAAACGACCACTCGGACAGGCGACCACGGCGCGACATTATGGGCCGGCGGAATGAGCGAAGCGATTAAATAATATATCATAAGCTTGGTAGGCCTGGGGTGGTACATCAAATGCTGATCTGGGGCCAAGGCTGAGACGTCACCTGGCGTCGCGTTTGTTCCGCCACTGCTCCATGAACGTCACCACGTCCTGCTTGACCTGGTCTCCGTCCGCGTACGTTTCGAAACTGCCGCCCCCTTCACCTCAGCAACCTCCACACCCTTGATTGTGATAATTCCTGTGTCCCAGAATATCCGGATCGCCTTCTGTTCAAAACCTTTCTCCATCAGGTGATGTTTGATCTGGCCCAAGGTTTTGTCGACGATTCTCTTTTCGATCGTACTATTGTTGGTGAACCACATTTTTCCCAACAGGTCCACGTAGTCTTTTTTTTTTTCATCTTCTGTAGGAATCCCCGTTTAGCAGAATCGGTTGTAAATTCCAAAATTCAGTCTTTTGTTGAGTCGAGGGCCGTTGACATGCTTGTGATCCTGTCCTTGACCCCGTGCTCCTGCAAGACATGCCTAATATGTTCGATGATGTGGTTATCCTCTTCCTCCTCCTTCAGGCCCCCGTCATGACTTGCACGTCCCCTTCATATGGTGGCTGTTGGTGGGCTTGTGCATGGCCCTCTTTGTCGTTCAGAGCTTTGTCGATACCCTCCCCGACCATCGTCTCGATCATCTCCTTCATCTCCGTCTTCGTCGCGTACAATTCGTCGAGGTCCGCTCTGACTCCGGTCACATCCACAGCAAAATCCTCCATAGTGTCATGTATGTTCGTCACGTCAATCGCCAGATCCTCCATGTCCTTCCTCGTTTGATGGATCATCCCCCTGAGTTTGGTCATGTTCTTGGCGAGCATCTCGAATATCTTTCCTGTCTCTTCTCGAAATTCTGGAACCACTCTGGTGCTCCAGCGTCGACGACCGTCGCTTCCTTGGTCCCGTCATCGTCGCTCGACATGTCTTCGAGGGCCGCCATATTTTCGTCGGGGTTCTTTTTCGCGCCCTTGCGCTCGGGTGTTGCACCTGAGCGTTCCGCCTGGCGTTTGGATGCCACCGGACATTTGTCACCCATTGTTCGTAGGTGTAAGCTGGCTGTGTGAGCTGGCTGTGTAACCTGGCTGTGTAAGACCACAACAAGGAGGCCTACAAGGATGTGGCTTGCGCCTGCTCGCTCGACTTGAACAAGCTTGAGCCTCGAGCATTGAGCCTTGAGCCTTGAGCCTCGAGCCTGCGTTTACCAGGCAACTCCAAACACGAGGGGGGGCAGAGGGCTGCAGGGAGGAGGGAATGTCGAAACGCCGAATAAAAAAAAGCTCTTTTAGGTCGGGAAGTACTCAGAAAATATTGTTTTGACCATTATTTCGGAGTATTTTCGACGCATATCTTTGACAATCTCTCATTCTTCTTCCAGAGTCCGCCTGCAGGAGGACATGCCCGACCTAAATCTAGGATCCTTGTCGAGAAAAATGCACTCGAGACCCAACCGTGCACGGGGGATGGACGTCGTAGCGATGGCGAGCGGGAGGCGAGCGGGTCCCCCGCGCCCCCGGCGTCGCCGCGGCCTCCGCAGCCGACCTTGCCCTCCCCTCCTGGCTCGGGCAGCGCGCCAGCCGCTGGCCGCCCAGGGAAACTGGGTGGACGCGTCCGACTCTAGCGTGTGCTACGAGGTGGAGGCCGCCCGCTGTGCGAAGGGGGCAGGCTCAAAGTGCTGCGACGGAGGTCTTCTATTGCGACCAGGGTGTGCATCGTTCCAGAGCGTTCCGGAACGCTCTCAGAGCGTTCCCGAGCGCTCTGGAACGGCTGTTGTTTTTCCTCCAGAACGACCAGACCTCATAGATCCTCCATTTGCGCAGGTTCGATTTTGTCCCGGTCTTGGCTTCGTCTTGTTCTGGCAGTTCTCGGTCTCCAGGGGTCCTCTCCGAGCCCCGGGGCCGTCAACAGAACGACTCAGGATAGGAGTCCGGTCCCGGGGAAGGTTCCTACACTTCCAGGGGCCCACCTCGCGAAAGGATACGACGTCGCCAGGCGCCGCCTCGCGCGCGCTATAGCAACACATACATATTCTGAAGCTCTTGCCAGGGATTCCAGCATGCTTTTGTCCCGTGAGGCCAGCGAGCTCAGCGAACACACTGTTGGACTTGAGCATGTCGCTGTATATCGGCAGTTGGTTTGACCCGCGCTCCAGTTTGCAGATTTGTGGTTTGGGACGTCTCTCTCTATCTATGTATGCATGTATGCATGCATGCATGTATGTATGTATGGATGTATGGACGTACGTATGTATGTACGTATGTATGTGCGGGTATGTACGTATGTATGTCTATGTGAATGTATGTATGCATGTATGCATGTATGAATGCATGCATGCATGCATGCATGCATGTATGTATGTATGTCTGTCTGTCTGTATGTATATATGTGTGTATGTATGTATGTATGTAGGTAGGTATGCATGCACGCATGTATGTATGTATGTATGTATGTATGTATGTATGTATGTATGTATGTATGTCGGAGATTGGGGGGTGAGATCGCAGTCCAACCGAGAAATCGTTTCGTTTCGTTCGTGTCGTGCGTGCGGGTGAGGCGATGCTGCGTGGGCGCGCGAGAGAAACGAACCCGCCGTTGCTAGGGCGAAGTCAAGACACATGTTTCTCCTCCGTCCGTCCGTCCCGCGGTGTCCCTAGCGGTGTCCCGCGGCGTCCCGTGGTGTCCCGTGGTGTCCGCCGTTTCTAGTGCGAAGTCAAGACGAATTATTCTCCCCCGTCCGTTCGTCCGGCGGTGGCCAAAGCGATGTCCCGTGGTGTCCCGTGGTGTCCGCCGTTGCTAAATGATTCTCCCCCGTCCGTCCGTCCGGCGGTGTCCCTAGCGGTGTCCCGCGGTGGGGTGTCGGGGAACATTGAAAAAATACATGGAACCCGTACCATCCCCAACCCGAAATTCGGATCAAATTCGGTTCTTCGGGTTGGGTTGGGGTGGTCTGGTAGGTAGTCAGTGTTGGGCAGGAATCGCCACGGAGGACACGGGTCCTGAGGGGCGCGTCTCTTGAGGCGTTTCACCGTTGTTTCAAGTTATCGGGGCTCTTCCGGGGCCCTTGGAGGACTTTCAGAAAGCGACTCAGGAGGAGAAGCTGGTTTTGGGGGAAGGCGCCGGGGTCCAGACCCGTTGTCGGACGGGGCCAGGACGAGGATAAATCCAATCCAGACCGTGCGGGAACGCTCTCAGAGTGTTCTGGAACGCTCTGAGAAGGCGGGGGCGTCCGAGACATCCTCCAGAGCCGCCGGATCGCAGAGGTTCTCGAGTTCTCGGCACACGAATTTATCTTAGTCCCGGTTTCGTCGGCGCCAGCTACAGTCGGGCCGCTGAACTAGGAACACTTGCTTTTCAAAAGGGGCTCGGGCGTTCCTTAGGTTTGCATGCGTTGCGCTTTTTGGGGACGGCGAGCCCCCCCAGTGCCCCTTCGGACTTCATGAGGTTCTTTGGAAGAAAGGGGCATCGTTCCTTATTTGTCGTTCCTTGGGTCAGCGGCCCGACTGTACTTGCCTTGGCATCGGCTTGGCGAGCGCGGCCCCCATCAGCCGAACATCGAAGAAGAAGAAGAAAAAGAAAAAGCACCTGCGTGAACATGAGCTTCCAGAGCTCCGCGCGGACTTCTTGGCAGTGGGCCCCCTGGCGGCGTCTCCGGCGCCGTCCGTGGGGCGCTCCGCGCGCCAGAGAGAGGGGTTCAGCGAAGATCTAAGAAAATCGCTCAGACATTCAAAGTTTATGATTATGTTTCTTTTCCCCAGAAAAAGGCAGGTGACCGACAACATCGGTGACCGACAACATCTCCAAAATCGTGACCGAAGGCGTGTTGTGACCGAAATTGTGATCGAACTTGAAGGTTGTCTTGGTCTTTGAGCCAAGAGCTTCGGTCACACTGGTGCGTTCGGAAGAATTCGGGTGCTGGTTTCGGTCACGCTCGGGCAGATATTCGGGCACAGCTTCGGTCACTGCGCCCGCCTGAAATCGGCCACGCGCAGAGGGGGGTAGGGGGAGCGGGGAAGGCTTCTTAGAAGCACTCCTGCTTCTTAGACGGCGCTGGCCCTCTCTGTAGACGTAAGGCTGGGGGCCTTCTAAGCAGCAGGATGCTTCTAAGAAGCCTTCCCCCTCCCCCCACCCCCCTCGTGCGCGCCGCCAAAGATCTCCGGAGGCGAGGCTGCGCGAGACGTGTGCGCTTTTCGAGGCCAGCGCCAGCAAGTCTGGACCGCCCTGGAGCATCTTGAGGAGGCGCGCGCGACACCCAGCAGCGCACGGGGAGCGGACGTCCGAGCAATTGCGCGCAAGCTGCTGGCCGACGCCGCGGCGGTGGCCGCTGAGCTCGTTCGGCATAGCGTGCTCTTCGGGCAGAAGGGCTCCAGGTGCAGAGGGGGGTGGGGGGAAGGGGGGAAGGGCTTCTTAGAAGCACCCCTGCTTCTCAGAAGGCGCGGGCCCTCTCTGTAGATGTAAGGCCGGCGCCTTCTGAGAAGCAGCCTCCTTCTAAGAAGCCTCCCCCCTCGCCGTACCCCCTGGTGCGCGCCGCCATCCACGCCCCCTCCCTGATTGCCCCTTCCCCCCCCCTGCCCCTCCCCTCCCATCCCCTTGCCCTCCCCCTCCCCCTCCCCCGCCTAGCTCTGCCTCTCTCTTCCCGGACGGGCCTCGACCTCCTCCTTCCACCTCCAGCCCTCCTCTCCTTCTGTTCTCTCTTCCATCTCACCGCCCTGGTTGTGCGAGGGTGCGCCGCTCTGCTCACTCTACACTCTAGGCCTCCTAGATGGGGTCGGAGTAGATGCGGTCGGGGGATCGCGCCGCATCGCCGATGCATCGCCGATGTGGCTCGATGTGCAGCCCGATTTGCTTCGCGTCGACGTCGCCGATGCATCGCCGAAGCATCGCCGATTCATCGCCGACGTATCGGCGATGCGGCGCGATCCTCCGACCCCATCCACTCCAACCCCGTCTAGGAGGCCTCTACGTATACACGCAGTGCAATGAGCCGAGCCACCAATTCAGACATGGGGCCGTCCTTCTCTCCTCTCTTCCTCTCCTCCAGCCCTCCTCTCCTCTGTTCCTTCTTCCATCTCACCGCCGTTGTTGTGTGAGGGTGCGCCGCGTTGCTCACTCCACACGCAGTGCAACGAGCCGAGCCACCCATTCAGACATGGGGCCGGCCTTGCCCTTCCGCCCTCCCCGTGTGCATGCCGCCGCCCCCGTCAGGGCAGCCTGTGCGCGGTGTCGGGCGGTGACAACACCCGGACCTTCCGCAACAGGCGCGCGCGGGGCTCCGCACGAACGAAATGGGCACGGGAAGGAGGCGTACAGTGCCCAGCAGCAGTTCCTGTTCATTTTGAACAGGGCTCGCTGTCCACGCCGCCGCGGCTTGTGTCCCTTCGAGACAGCAGGCCGCCTGCCCAACAGCAGTCGCTGGTGGTTTGGGGCAACATTCGTTGTTGGGCATTGTACCCATTTTTCCCGTACCCATTTCGGGCGTCCCAAGGGGCGGGGGTGGTGGTCGCGCGCGCAGCTGGAGCAGGGGCTGGGGCTGCAGGTGTCCCGGGGATGCCGGGGCTGCGCAGAGGCCCCAGCCCACTGCCGCAGGCCTCTCTCGTTTCCCCGACCCTCGGTCTCGCCAGCCCCAGTCCGCCCCGCGGTCGATGCCAGGAGTATCACTCGGCTCTTGCCCACTCACGCCTGCTCAGGAGCGAAAGAAGGACATACGCGTACATGAATCCACGCTGGTTTCGAGAATACGCATTGCGCGAATGTTCGTATCATGCGGCAGGTCTCGCGGATCGAGGGGCCTTGTTTATCTACATGGTTGGGCGCGTACATCCTTTGTGGGCTCCCTAGTCTGCGTGCCGCGCAGCCGCCTCTGGAGTCCAATGCGGCCGAGCCGCTCACCCGCTGATGTCTACTGAGCACGGGAAGGCGTTCCGAACGGCCTGCCTCATCCCTCTAGAGGCTGGATGGGGCCATGAGCATGGCGAGTGTGGGGACTTCTTCGAGGGATCAATCATCGAGCGGACGGCAATATCGAGGATTTGGGGGGTTGATCGAGGGATCAATAACCAATCAATTATCAATAATCATGGGCTGATCGTGGCCTCCGAGGGGGGAGCCGCAATCGACTACCCCCAAGAGCCCCCCAAGAGGCCCTGGGGGCCTCCAAAACGCCGCCAAGGAGCCCCAAGAGACTCCCAAGAGGTCCCCAAGAGGCCCCCAAGAGGCCCTAAAGAGGGCTCCAGGGCCGGCGGCATGAGCGAAGCGATTAAATAATCATGGGCTGATCGAGGATTTCAGGAAAGTGGCCTCCAGGGGGCCCCCAGACTGCCACCGCGGGCCCGAAAAGGTGCGCGAGAGGCGCGCGTGTTTGTGCACCCCACGCCTATGGTTCCCCCGCCATCGAGCACGCGACACAGCCTGGAAGACGAGGGGTAATTCGCCCCGAGAGGGGGAAAAAAAAGAAGAGGGGGAGCGCAGGCCACAGTAGGGCGGGACGGGGCCCGTGTGCGGCTGAGGGGAGCGGAGGACGCAGGAAGAGCAGGGCGCCTACGATCCGATTCCATGCGGTTCGATTCGCCAGCTGGGGCCGCGATTCCGACTCGATTCGATGCGGTTCGATTCGCTGGAATCAGCCTGGGCCAGCGAGAGCCGGGCGCGGCCATCCGATTTCGATTAGATGATCCACTGCCGCGATTCGATCGAGCTCTGGTCTGGGAGGAGAGAAGGGCGAGGACCTCACAAGTGATCGATCATCTCAGGCTCACCCAACCTGCGGCATCGTAGCCACTCTGATGGTCTTCCACCGATCACAGGCCGCTTCTTCTGGGACGTCTGGACCTACGGGAGTGGCACCTCTGGCACATGAGTTTGCCATGCGGCGCGAGCTCGTTCCAAGAGCCACCAGGCACGAAGCGATGCTGGGCGACTTTTCACCGTTGGCGGCTTAGCGTGGCTTCTGCCGCCTGTTGCTGCTGTTGCTACTTCCCTCTCCGTCAGTCCTTCTCCTCTGCCACCTCTTTCTCCTGCACAGTCGTCTGCTCCTGCAACCTTCGAGGCGTGCTCCTTCTCTTCGTGTGAAGCTCGCGCCTTCGCCTTCGTCTGCCACCCGCAGGCCTTGATAGGCCTCTCCGCGCTCGTCCTTTCAGCAACACCGCCTCGTCACGCCAGACGGCAGAGCTCTGGAAAGGCAAGCGCTCCTGTCGCGACGACCCTGTCCAGGGCCAGCGCTGATTTAGAATGATAAAAGACAGACGCCTACATCGCGGGGCCCTAGGCGCGGAGGTCTTGCACGGTGGAGGTGGCGGCTATGTAGTGGAAGCTATCTAGTGTAAGCTGTGCTGTGTGTACCTTTTGTGTGAGCTAGGCGGTGTAAATCAGGCTGTGCAGGCTATGTTGTCTGAGCGGTGCTATGTAAGCTATGTGGTGCGAGCTATATGGTGTGAGCTATGGTGGATAGCTATTCGGGGTGAGCTATGTGGTGTAAGCTATCTGGTGCGAGTGATATGAGCTAGATGGACGACCAAGCAGTGACATCTATTGCAGCAAGCCGTGTGGTGTAAGCTATGCGGTCTGAGCTGTCATGTGGCGTGGGCCGGGTGTTGCAGGCCGTGTGGTGCAGCATCTGTGGTGCGAGCTGTGCTGTGCAAAAACCACGCGGTGTGAGCGCACGGGGCGCCAAATGGGCGCGGGCGCCCACGAGGAGAGGACCGACGGGAAACCCACCCGGCGCACGCAGGCGCTCCACGAGGCGCCCACGGGCGGGCGCGGGCGCCCACGCGGCGGGCCCTCGGGGAGCCCGCGGGGCGCACGGAGCGCCCACGCCCGAGCCCAAAGGGGGTGCTGGTGGGTCTCCATGGCAGGGGCCGGGGCAGCTCTCCAGACCTCGCTCGGAGGGCACCACCTATACACCAACACCGATCCTGGCCCAGGATCACCCTGGGCCCAGGATCGGTGTATATGCCTTCTTGCGCAAGGCAGGAGGGCGTATACACCGATCCTGGGCCCAGGGTGATCCTGGGCCAGGATCGGTGTTGGTGTATAGGTGGTGCCTTCCTACTCGCGGCCCCCTCTTCTTGTTTCAGTGCGCCTCCTCGCCTCCAGCCCCCCGGGCCGCACACACGCCTCCGGCCTCGGGAGTCCTGAGACGGGGGTCAGTGCAAACAGGGGTCGGCCAGAGCGCCGGATCTTGCAGGATCCTGCAGGGCCAGGGTCGCATTGCCCCGGGTTTGGGCGAAGGATCCTGCAGGATCTTTCGCATTGACCCAGATTTGGGCGCAGGCTCTTGCAGGATTTTACAGGAGTCTGCAAGGCCTAACTGATTCGGGTCTGGATTGACCCAGGTCAGAAAATCCCCGACAGCCATGATGCGCACCCCGCGTATGGGCGCCTCCCTTTGGAACTCCTCCGAATCTCGAGGAGCAGCTTTCAGACTTCCACCTGGGCGACCAGGAAATGGGGTCGAATGCGCGGACACTCGCGCGGGAGCCTCCCGCGTGAGGCCGTGCGTGAGCGCATCCTTCTCCACGCGGTGTACCACGCCGGCGGCCCGCGGAAGCCGCGGCGTAAGGCTGCTATTGTCTTCTCGGATAAACTCGCTGGTTTTCGTCGCTCCTTTGGATTTTCGTTGTCGTTGATCAGCGTTTGTGAGGCGTCCTCCTTCGCCAAGCTGCCCTGCCTGCAGCGGAGCGAAGGCGGGCGGGACAGGGAGAGGGCCGCTTGGCAAGGCTTGGGGCTGCGCGCAGACAGCCCCCCCCCACCCCCCAAGGTATCGGGAAGGGAAAACTGGTCAGGTCAGCGCTCCTTCCCCTCCTTCTCCCCCCTCCTCCCTCGAGAGGGGCGAGGAAGGAAGGGGGGAGAGGAGGGGCAGGAGCACTGACCTGACCAGTTTTCGATTCCCAAAGGTAGCGTCCAGCTGGCCTCAACAGGCCCCCGAGTAGTCCAGGGCAGTGCCAACACCCCGGCGCCGCCTCCAGCGGCGCCCTTGGCCGGAAACGGAAGCCTATACATTACCAGTGGCGGGCTGCTTCTCAATCCCGCGACTTTTTGAGGGTCGGGGACGACGTCGGGCTGGTGTGTGTTGGATACTTCTCCCCGTTTTCCGCGGGGCATGGACGAGAAACTCGGGGCCCCCCGCGCCCCATGGGTTGAGGTGTCGAGACCGCCCCGGACGGCACGGGGGGGCCCGTTGAGGTCAGCTGGGGCTACTCTAGGCCTCCCAGACGGGGTCGGAGCGGCTGGGGTGGGAGGATCGCGCTGCATCGCCCGCGCCGCATCGCCGACGCATCGGCGATGCGGCTCGATACGGAGCGCGATTTGCTCCACGCCGGCGTCGCCGATACACCGCCTGCGTACGTCGGCGATGCTGCGCGATCCTCCGACCCCTGCTCGAACCCCACCTGGGAGGCCCCTAACTGCGCGGGTGGGCCCGTGGAGGCCAGCAGGGGCCACCCGGGGGCGCTGCCTCTTCGCAGCCCGAAGCCTCTCCGGGCCCGCTCCTCCTCCCACCCCGCCGGGCTTCCGCCCCAGCCCCCCTGGGTCCCGCTGCCGCCCCAGGCTCGGCGTTTACGCCGGCGAGCTCCTCCTCCTCCTCCTCCTCCTCCTCCTCCTCCTCCTCCTCCTCCTCCTCCTCCTCCTCCTCCTCCTCCTCCTCCTCCTCCTCCTCCTCCTCCTCCTCCTCCTCCTCCCCCTGGGTCCGCTGCCGCCCCAGGCTCGGCGTTACGCCGGCGAGCTCTGCTGGGATGCCAGGAGGCCGCGCCAGCCGCCCTCGGGTCGAGTGCCGGGCAGGGAGGGCCCGAGAGGGGTGGCGAGAAAGGACGGGCGGACGGATGGCTGGACGGAGAGACGGACGGACGGACGGACGGACGGACGGACGGACTGACGGGCAGAGGAGGAGGCGGAGGAGGCGGAGGAGGAGGAGGAGGAGGAGGAGGAGGAGGAGGAGGAGGAGGAGGAGGAGGAGACGGAGGAGGGCGTCGAGGGCACAGCACGCATTGCGTGCACGTCCCGGACGAGATCGCGATTCTCGAGTACACTGCGCAGGACTCTCCGGCACGGGGGCGATTTCTCAGGAAATTGCGAGGAGGTCTCGGGCGGAAGCCGTTCTCGTGGTAGTCCAGGGGCCAACCTTTTGCTGATAAAAGCAGGTATCGACCAATACGCTGCCTAGCGCAGCATGTCTTGGAAGCGGATCGTGACTCCAGAGATGCACCAAAACGCTGCTGCGGGGGACACATTCCACATTCCATACTCTTTTCGTTTTGAATGGGGCACTCTACGAAAACGCAGCACCTCGTTTTGGCCGTCCGCTGCCGTGGAGCGGCAGCAGGCGGACCGATGCCCCCCCGAAGCCCACCCGTGGAGGGGCTGCCGATGATCTCGGCTGCTGGCCTTCGAAGGGCCCGCCTCGAGTTGCGGGAGGGTTGTAGACGGGAGCGAACCATGACATAAACATAAAAACTTGGAGGTCCGCGCGGAGTTCTCGGATCGGCGCTGAACCCCCCTCCCTGGCGCGCGGAGCGCGCCAGGGGCGGCGCCGCCAGGGGGTTCCGGCGCCGATCCGAGAAGTCCGCGCGGACCTCAGAGTTTTCATGTTTATGTCATTGTTCGTCCTCCTATCGCCGAGTGCGTTCCACAACTCGCAAAGTGCCTACTCGCAAGCGTCACAAAAACACATGTCTGCTTTGATGTATTTTATCGTAGATCCGCCGCGGGGGATCCAGGCCATTTGTGAGTAGTTACTTTGCGAGTAGTGGAACGCGCTCGTCGAGTTGTGGGCAGCGGGGGGCCAACTTGGCCACGGGGGGCCTGGTCGCCACGGGTGGGGCACACCGAGGCAGCGCGACCGCGGACTGACGGGCGCGCGGCTGCGAGAGGCGGGCCCTGCTGCCGTGCAGGCTCGGCGTTCGCTCCGGCGGCAAACGAGGCGGCTCTGTCTTCGTGCTTCGGGGGATGCTTTCCACAGAAGAGGAAAAAGCGCCATGAGCACACACGCAAATAAAGACACAAACAATAAACTGCAGAATGAGCGGGAGGGTGGAATCGAAGAAACAAACAGATACACTGCATAAGCATAAAATTTTGGCGCTCCGCGCGGATTTCCTGGATCCGCTCTGCGCCCCCCTAGCGGCGCCTCCGTCGCCACCCCCGGCGCGCTCCGCGCGCCAGGGAGGGGGATCCAGCGCAGATCCAAGAAATCCGCGCGGAGCGCCAGCAGTTTAGGATTCTGCAGTCTCTTTGTTTGTCTCCTCAATTCCACGTTCCCTGGATCCTGCAGCGCAGGATGCCTCACTGAGAAAACGACGACTTTCTGAAAACTTCCTGTGAGCGGGCACGCACGGATTGGCTCGGGGATCTGCCGCGGTGGGCGGACGGCGACTTTGTCCGCACGCACTCGCGCGGAAAGGCCTAGGGTGTGGTTCCGTGCGAGCGAGCTCTCACGGGATGGCTCTGAAGGTATGTAGTCAAGTCGAGCGTGTCCCTCTACAGGAGGAGTATTCCGAAATGGTATAAATTAGTTGGGGGACTATTTAGTGTCCATTTTTTATTTGTTTTGCTTTTTTGTTGTAAACAATTCGTTCGTCCCAAATCCGCCTACAGGGGGACACGCCCGACCCAAGTACGGAGCCCCCAACCATCCCGTGCGAGCGGGGGCTCGCACGGGTTGGCCGAGGGTACCGCGCCCTCGGCCATCCCGTGCGTGCCCGCTCACACAAAGCCCTCGCATCTCCGTGAGGCATCCAGCGCTGTCAAGCCTTCGCGCCAGGTCCACGGGCCCTCAATATAGGGGGGGAAGCGCTTGGCCACAAGCGGTGCCACAGGCGGGGCGTAAGTTGCATCAAGCTGGGTACGGCTAGCCTTGAGTCGGGCATGTCCCTCTACAGGGGGAAAATTCAAACATAGTTAAAAAACCGTATGTGGACGATTTTTTCCCAACCATCCTGTGGTGTTGGGTCCTCGTTTTGAAGAGACAGCGCCCCGCGTTCATCCCGCCTCCTCCTCCTCCGTCTCCTCCCTCCTGCTTCCCATCCTTGCCTCTGCTCTCCGCATGCCCATCCCATTTCGGCGAACCCCTCACAGGGTTCGTGGCCAAATAGGGAGCTCCACCGAAGGCCCCAGTGGCAGCGTTCGCATGTAGTTCCACCTTCACTCCGGCGCACCCCTCACAGGGTTCGTGGCCCCATAGGAAGCTCCACCGAAGGCCCCAGTGGCAGCGTTCGCATGCAGTTCCACCCTCATGTCGGCGCACCCCTCAAAAGGTTCGTGGCCCCACAGGGAGCTCCACCGAAGGCCCCAGTGGCAGCGTTCCTATGCAGTTCCACCCTCATTTCGGCGCACCCCTCAAAAGGTTCGTGGCCCCACAGGGAGCTCCACCGAAGGCCCCAGTGGCAGCGTTCGCATGCAGTTCCACCCTCATTTCGGCGCACCCCCTCACAGGGTCCGTGGCCCCATAGGGAGCTCCACCGAAGGCCCCAGTGGCAGCGTTCGCATGCAGTTCCACCCTCATTGCGGCGCACCCCTTCACAGTGTTCGTGCCCCCATAGGGAGGTCCACCGAAGGCCCCAGTGGCAGCGTTCGCATGCAGTTCCACCCTCATGTCGGCGCACCCCTCAAAAGGTTCGTGGCCCCACAGGGAGCTCCACCGAAGACGGTACTCACAAGTGCGGCACTCACAACTGCATATGGTTGTGTCCTTCGCCAGGCCAGTTATACATACACATATATATATATATATATATTGTTTAGGTTTTTTTTTTACTTTTCGTCCAAAATCCCCATGTAGAGGGACACGCCCGACCTGAGGCTGGCCGTGGCGTGCGGAGGTGGGCCCTTGGGCTGTCGGGAGACGCAGCTATCCACCTGCACCTCTCCCGGCCAGGCCCACCCTGGGGCAGGGCCGGAGTAGGTGCAGGCGCATGCGGACAGCGGCGGTTCTCTGGGTCACGGCCCGCGCTCATTCCCCCGAAAAGCTGTTGCTCGTGTCTCCACGAGGCGGAGGCGAGGCGGAGGAGGAGGTGGAGGAGGAGCACGGAGGACCAGTGCAAGCCCAGGACGCACCAGCCACGCTGCAATACATCCTCCCTCCAAGGTTCCCCTTTCACATGTCCCTAAAGGCATGTCCTTTCTGCACGGGAAGCGGCCCATTATAAGACAGCCTTGTGAGAATTCTCAATCGTGCTCGAACACCGTTCCTTGGATTTCAGCGCCGCAGATCTACGTGACTGTTGCAACCTGACATGCCCAAATCGCCACATAACACGATTCTTTGTTCAACTCCGCGAATCAACGTCACTGTTGCGTCCTGACCATGCTGGACCGTGCCAGAACACAACCCCTGGGACTTCGACCATACCAATGCTTGCAACTGCTGCGATCCTTGAAGACGAATGTGGGCAGAACTGAGGCGAGAGCCACATCCTGAAAAGGAGCCGCCCTCCATTCCTGCAGCTGGTGCAAACTGCCAAGACGACGGTGCGCGGCGCTGAGGCGAGTGCCGCGTCGAAAACAGGGCCCGCCCTCCATCCGAGGAGCTGCTGCCACTTTCGAGCTACAGGATCGCACATGGCGAGGGGGCCTCAGGGGGCAAGACGCCGGGCCCGCCCGGCCGACGCGCCTGCGGGTGCGACGTGGGTGTGATGTGTGCTGATTGAGGCTGGGGGTGCTGATGCTGAGACTGGGGAGCTCCTCCACTGAGGCCTAAGAACTAAGAGCCTATAAAGTTTTTTAACTCCTGAAATGCCTCAGCCCGCTCTCATGCGCCCCCTCATGCGCCCCCCCATTTTGGCACACCCCTCACGCGGATCCTTGCCCCCGGACTGCCAGGAATGGTGTTCTGAGAGCTTTTGCAAATCGCAGGGCGCACCCCTCACGCAGATCCGTGCCCTCGGAGTGCCAGGAATGGTGTTCTGTGCTGTCGTATCGCCCATGCATCGGCCTTCGCGCGCCGCGTCGCGGGGGAGCGCTCTCGCCAAGCAACGAACAATCCCGCACGCCTCGTGACAAGCCGGGGTATGCATCGCCAAGGCGTCGGTAAGTTGCTGCGGGGAGCTACTCGTTTTTGTCGCTTCGCGTGCGCGCGTTGCATCGCCCTTGCATCGGCCTTCGCGCACCGTGCCGCAGTGCTAAGGATGCGAACTGGGGATCCGTCTCCTCGAGGCAACGAGCTATCCCGCGCTCGTTGCGCAGCCACTCCATGCAATTTCACCGCCGCTTGGCGGCGTCCCTGCGATGCACAGGGACTCGCGTATATATATATATATATATATATATATATATATATATACATATCGGCGCACCGGGTCCGGGGGCCCGGGGCCGGGACCTCGACCGCAAATGTGCACCCCGGGGGGCCCGGAGGCTCGTCGGGGCTTGCCGGGGGCCTCCCCAGTCAGACAAGACGGCCCAAGAAGCGCCCAAGACGGCCCAAGAAACTTCCAAGAGGCCTCCAAGAGGGCTCCGAGATGCTGAAGATGGCCTCCAGACGTCCAAGGACGCCCCCAAGAGGCCCCAAGAAGCCTCCAACATGCGTCCCAAGAGGGCCCCTAGACGCAAAAATTGGCCCATTCCCTTCGTAAAACGTACATTTTCAACAAAGTTGTCTTTTGGGCTTTCCGACGTTACAGGACGGCCCAAGAGGCGCCCAAGACCGCCCCAAGACGGCCCAAGAAGCTTCCAAGAGGGCCCCAGGACAGCCCAAGAGGGCCCCAAGACGGCCCAAGAGGCGCCCAAGATGGCCCAAGAGGGCCCCAAGA